AAAGCAAATTTATAACCAATAAAGTACATTAAATCATGTGCCACAGAATCATTCACTCTTTCTCACACATGCCTTAAATTGGCAATACTGTACTGTCCTTCTGGAATCTACTAAGAAGAGATTTCCCATAACAAAATAAATGAAGGAAGACTTACAAGTTGACTAAATGAAAGGGATAATGGCATTCTATATAATATTTGTATTTGACATTTTATTAGAAAATTATTTTTTTAAAAGAAGCTGTTTAGTTGATCCACAAAATTATTTTGATCATTTTTGTAAGCCATTCCAATATTTCTGTAACAAAAATTTTTGTGCTTGTAATTAGCAATCTCACTCCTCCCAACATACACACATCATCATCACTACCACCGCCACCACCTATCAGAAGTTTGCATGTACAAATTGTTAAATATGCCCTTTAAAAAATGAATTATGAATAAATGCTAACTATTTGGGAACAGGGGCAGAAACAGTGATCATATACCAAGCCCATAAAACTTTTATGTTTACATTAAATTTTTAATTCCATTTCATATCATCGCATGGCTGTGACTCTTTGGTACAAATAATCACAAATGGGAGCTGAAGAGAAGACAACTGCAGTCTTACAGGAGGGAGTCAGAGAAAGTGTCACAGAGAAGATAATGCTTGAACTGAGATTTGAAGGAAAATGGAAAACTAGCCAAAGTGACAAAGCAGGGAGGAGCATAATGGGCATGGGAGAGCACATAGGCAAAACACTGGGGCATGAGATAACACGGCAGGCTTGAGAACCAGCAAATAACTCCCTGCAGTATGTGGAATGTCAAAGACCAGGTTTGGAGTGAGGAAGAAGTAGATCATAAATAGCTTTGGATATCAATCAAAGGAGTTTAGATTTTATTCTGTTGATAGTTCTGCACGTCAAAGTAACTCCGTCTTGAATGCTAATCCATCATGTTGACTTCTGACCAACCCTAGTTCTGTGAAGGCCTGTAAGATTTCTATGTTATCTATTTACCATGAATCCTTCCTTTAGGCCAGTTCCCTATCATGGATAAGCCCTGGGTCTGGAGGGTAACAGGCCAAGGATCTATCATCTTACAAGTACTAGGTCGCTATTAAATGTTGTTTCCTGAGAAACTGGATGTGCCAGCCTCTTTCTTCAGCCTCTCAGCTCCCTCAGTCTTTGGGGATAGGTTTGCACAGATCTGCTCACCACAGAACAGTGGTAGAAGCCATTTACCAATACAGAAAAAATAATTCCAGTAGCAAGATCCATAATGAACAAAAGGAGCAGATAACTAATAGGAGGAAATGATTAATAGTTCATGAAGCAAGGAAGAATCAATTCCCATGAGCAGAGACAGAAGGAGAAGACAAGTTCAAAGTTCATAAGAAATTGGATCAGAAAATGAGAGGGAAGAAGTTTGGAGTTCATCAGGAAATTAAATCAAGAGTCTTCACCAAGATTTACAGAAGGTTATGATTCCTTAGTATCCCATATAATTTCATAGAATTTTTAGTAAGAAAAAAAGAAGAAAATTGGCAATTAGAAGTAATAAAGCTGACTACATCACAGAATCTTTCCCACTGTAAGAAAACAAAAAAATGAACTCACTTCCATTATTTTAAAATAATTTGTACTGAATAAACCACTTGAAATCTAAAGTGTTTTTTTGGAGCTGATTATTTATACCAATAGGAGAATTAAAATGTAAGCCATAACTGAAATGTGACTTTAGCATAAGAGATAAAAGTTTGCAACAGAATAATTTAATAAAATGTAGCAATTACGAAACCAAATGCCCTGTTTATTATTAATACCATTAGCTTAATGGTATGATTCTCAATCAATCTTCAATAAAGGCAGAAAACTTTTCTCCAAACTGGATATTTTGGTCTAAATTTGCCTTAACTTCCTACACTAAGAACATTTCTTGAATGGGATCCAAATACATCCAGCCATTGCTTGCAACAGGTATCTATTGTTTTGTCTCCCAGCCCTCCCCACCCATTCTTGGAAAACGACCCGCTCCCATTCATTCTCCACCCTTATCTTCTTCCATCCACATAATTACGATGCAGAGCATGGTGCTTGTTTAATGTTTGGTGGATGATCCAAAAAAACTGAGCTCCTAAATATTCTCTGTGTTTATGACCCATCTCTCCGCTCCACTTTAGGACTCACTCTCTGAAGACCACACCCTACTTGGGAATCACCACTGAAGAATAGTTTACTTCTGTTACAACATGTCATCTGACCACACCCACCAATCCTTTCCCCTTTTCTTACTCCTATCTCATCTGTTGAGTTTCATCCAAATCTTCAGGTCCCTGCCCATTCCTCCCAGACCATCACCTCCCTCACCTGTTCTCCATGTCCAGCCCGAACTCCCTGTCAATCAAATCAATAATGCTTTTACTAGAATTCTTCATTTATTTTCCATCCTTTGTTTCCAATACAGCAAGCCTGGGCAGTCCTCACCCAGATGAATCATGCTCAAATTCTCTTCTGGATGACTAAGCTCTCAAAATGAATGCTCCTCAACAATCCAGATTGCTATCATTCAGATTTATAATGGCTAACAACCCTCAGCGATAATCAGCAACCCTCTCCTTTGTTCTGAGTCAGTTCATTTCCAAACTCCCTAGGGCCACTGTTCCAAACCTTGACCACTTTCATAAATCCCTTGTATCATCAAGCCCCTCTATCTTTATCGTCAGATCATCTTTTTCATAGTAATAGAGGTTATCAGGTGAAAGAAGAATATTCACCTTCCCATTCTTCCACCTCAAACACACCTATGGGAGTACCAATCTTTATCTCACTCATGCCTATGTTTGAGACACTGGGGTCTCTCCTCTTGTCCTCTCTAAGCCACCATTTCTACCTGTGTCTTAAGTCCCAGACCACAGAAATCTCCAGATGCTGTCTTTTTTCTACATATTTTTATCTCCACTTTAATCTAGCTCCTTCTCCTATAAATATAAGCAGGTCAATTAATCTTAAACCCCAAATAAAACTATCTGCACCACCACCAACAACAAAACTTCCCCTCGGCCCTTCTTCCATTTTTAGCACTTCTCCATTTCTTTCTTCTAGTTTCTTACTAAATGTCTAGAAACTATGTGCATATATTCATATGCATGCATTTTATTCATATATGCATAGACAATAAATATAAAATATGTGCATTTTATATATTTATATAATAAAAACAGATGGCAATAGTTTAAGAAATAGAGAAAAATATATATGTAATACTGTATGTGTCGGGGGGTGTATTTATTTATTCCTTAAATCATTGCCATTGCCATGATTTCTAACCCAGCCATTAGACCAAAAATACCTTCACTAATTCACCTATCATCTTACCACTGCCAAGTCCAAAGCTGTTACTAAATTCTCTTCCTAACTGACCCAGCTACAGCATTTAATACTACTTTCTTTTCCCCCACTCACACAGAGTATACGTTTATTTGTTTAGTCCTCCTCTCTCCTGTAGGAAGTAAATTTTTATGAGGGCAGAGACCTTGCCTGCTTGATTCACTGTCTAGAATTGTGTCTGGCATGTAATAAGTGATGAACATTTATTGAATAAATGTCACCTACCTCTAGGCAAAAATCGATTAATTCAGAGGTGGGAACCACACCCTAACTGAGACAACTTCACTCTCTTCTCTGAGAGCTTAAACTTGAGACCAGGAAAGTCAAGCCAGTCTCTCCAGGTAAATAAAAATTCACCTTCAGTGTAAACGGAAAATAAAGCAGATAGTATAGAGGAAGTCAGACAAACAGCATCCTCACAGATTTCAAGCCCTTGGTTCCATTCATCCCGCTGTCCAAAATAAATTCCACCCTCGGCCTATCCCAACGTCCTTACAGTAATCCTTTTTAACTTAAACTAATTTAGTCTTGTTGTTATTACCAAGAGATTCCTTATTAATACACTATTCTACAGTTGGATGGGTTCAAAATAAACATCCTAAAGCCAATGTTTAAAAAAAGGGGAGGGGGAGTTTAGAGTTCCAACTCCATGAATGAAAACGTGTAAAATATATTTAATGAAAATGTGGTATGATATGGCTGGGTGCAGTGGCATGATCTGGGCTCACTGCAACCTCTGCCTCCTGGGTTCAAGCAATTCTCCTGCCTCAGCCTGCCAAGTAGCTGGGATTACAGACATATACTGCCACGCCCAGGTAATTTTTATTTTTATTTTTTTTAGTAGAGGTAGGGTTTCACCATGTTGACCAGGATGGTCTTGATCTCTTCACATCGTGATCCACCCACCTCAACCTCCCAAAGTGCTGGAATTACAGGTGTGAGCCACCGCACCCAGCTGGTATTTTCTTTATGATTTATAAACTCTCTACTATACAATACTTAGGAACTATTTATGGGGGGAAAAAGCCACTTTCATGTTCATATCTTCTCTAAATAAAATTATATATATATATATATTCATTTTATCTTTTTTTGTGTGTGACAGAGTCTTACTCTGTCACCCAGGCTGGAGTGCAGTGGCATGATCTCAGCTCACTGCAACCTCTGCCTCCTGGGTTCAAGCCATCCTCCCCTTCAACCTCTCAAGTAGCTGGGATTACATATATGTACCACTATGCCTGGTTAATGTTTGTATTTTTAATAGAGATGGGGTTTCACCATGTGGGCCAGGCTGGTCTCGAACTTCTGACCTCAAGTGATCTGCCCATCTTGCCCTCCCAAAGTGGTGGGATTACAGGCATGAGCCACCACACCTGGCCTACTGCTATTTTTTTTGAAGTGAAGTTTGGTACTAATTTTGCCTCATGCTCGTTTTCCTTAGACAGTAGGTAAAGTATACCATTAAACAGAGAATGGTTGAAGAATCCCGTTACAACAATGCATGACAACTTCAGGCAGGAAAACAAACTCAAACGCCTCCTACACTGGCATTTAGAAACAGCAAAGTTGTACCTTGGAGAATAGAAATTAATTAGCAACATTGCATTTCATGGGTCATGGTACTTACCAAACAAACGCTGATGGAACAGAAATTTGCCAGCTATTAGTCCTATGAGAATGGCAAGCAGCCATAGAAGCACCTTCAAAATCCTCCAGCCAACTCCTCTAGGGTATTTATTCGTAACAAATGAAAAACAGTTTCCAACAACAATAACATTGGCTTCTGTTTGGCTATGAGAAACCGGGTCCTCCGCAAATATTAAGAAGTTAAAGAAGATCACCAAGTAAGCCACAATCATGCGAGACCAGGGATGCTGAAAATAGTAACGAAAGTCTTTACCCATTCTTCAAAACTTCAACTTCGTAGTTTACCTGTTTAAGAAAAGATAGATAGGGTTAGAGCAGGAAAACAAATAGTCTCTCTCTCTTCTTGTTATCAGTTCAGGTTTATAACAGTTCCATAAAATGTATTTGGAAAAAAATGATATCTGTTTCCACTTATGGCTCCAGGACAAGTACGAGAATGAGGAAAGTGAATACTGTCCCTTCCCTAATATCTAATCATACCTCTGATTATTTGAGGACTTGGGAAAGAAAGACAATAAAAGAGTAGGGGAGGAGAAAGGGGATGTGAGAGGGCAGAACACTGTCTAAGATTGGGATGGTGGGCAAGATGACATGCAGAGGTCCTCTGAGGTGGAAACGCAGAGCGGGCACAACCATGGCTCACTGCAGCCTCCACCTCCTGGGCTCAAGCAATCCTCTCACCTCGGCCTCCCGAGTAGCTTGAACCACAGGCATGTGCCACCATGCCTGGTTTCACTTTCGTATTTTCTGTAGAGACAGGGTTTTGCCATATACCTTAGATTGGTCTTAAACTTCTGGGCTCAAGTGATCTGCCCACCTAAGGCTCCCAAAATGCTGGGATAATGGGTGTGAGCCACCATACTCAGCCTCCTCTTTTTGATTATCACTTTTGTCTTACAATCATAATACAGAGTTATTTAAAAATCAAAACAACACAGAGGTAAAATGAGCATATATTAACAAAAATTAAACAATATTCTCTCCTCTGCCCAAATCCCTCTCCTCAGAGATTTGACTGCTTACAAATTTGGTGGAATTACTTTCAGATCTTCTTCTAAACACTGACAAATGTATATATGTGCATAAACTTTTATTAAAATGTTCATAGTCTAGTTATCAAATAATTTCAATAGAGTATAAGTTCTATGACATAGCTAAGTCTAGGACAGAGTAGTTGCCCACAGGAAGGACTGGACAGCTTTGCACTAGGGAAATGAGAACAAACAGGGAGATTTTACAGAGGACATGCCCAAGACTAAGGCTGGAGGATTAGTAGAATTTTTTTCTAGTCAGGAAGGGACGGATAGAAGGCTAGCCACTCTAGGCAGTGACCACGGCGCATCCAAAGGCAAAGAGCACTGCAAAATATGTAATATGACCACAGTAGTGGGTCCTAACCTGAATGTGCACTGAAAGTACATAGCTGTCTGCAAATGCAAATGTTCAAGCCCACCTCCAAAGTCTTGCTCAGCTCCTCCCTCTCCCCTCTTTGGGAACCAGCTTTCCCATAAAGAACACAAGCTATAACTTCCACATGAAGAGATCTGTCTGGGTCCACCATGGCTTGTAAGTGGATGATTACATCTTTCTAATTCTGGGGTTTGGCTTTCGTGAGCCCATTTGCTCTCAGACTAAACTATGTGTTTTTCAGCAATAATGCTGATTAAATCTTAGATATAAAAAATAATACAGGCAAAAATTTGACTGCCATCTGCCAATTCATTTTTCTTCTCTCTCAATTTATTCAGAATTCAGAAAGGGAAGAGGGAGAAGAGGGTCCCTTACAAAGCCTACAGCATTTTACATGCCAGGCTCTGTGCTGGATGTCCCCATGTATCGTTGTGTCATTTTTGTCATAACAACCCCCTGAAATACCGTTATTATCATTTCTGTCACTTCAGTTTACAAGGTGGAAATTGGGGTTGACACAGATTTTGTAACTTGCTCAAAGTCACCCAGCAGGAGATCTCTGATCTGAGCCTCTGAGGCTGACTCCAGGGGAATGATCACTGTTCTCTGCAAACAGGCAGATCAACTCCTGGCACTTTCCTTACCTAGAGAGTAGGCCCAGGGCCCAGTCCCAGGAATGCCATCCCTTGAATGTCTTCTGGAGACATGTTCTTCTCTAGACACAATTACATTAATTCCGTAATACCTACTTCTAATACATAAGAAAATGTGTGTGTGTGTGTGTGTGTGTGTGTGTGTGTGTGTGTGTGAGAGAGAGAGAGAGAGAGAAAGAGAGAGAGAGAGAGAGAGAGAGAGAGACAGAGAGAGAGAGAATCTTTTATAAACCCTGAACACTTGGTAGGGGAGGATCCTAAGTCAATGGAAGATCTGAGACAGTCTCCAAGGTTCCCAAGTCCCAATCCAATATTCTGGGCTGATAAATACCAATTCAACCCACAACCTTAGTTAATGAAGACTTGTCATAACTATTTTACAAAAGCAATATAAACATGCAAAAAGACTGGCAATAGAATTCAGCCTAGCAAATAGTCACTGTGCCTTGGATTCATAAGCCTTCTAGGCAATTTCAAGTCCCTTGTTATCTTTGTTGAACACTCTGAAATCTGTCCCCCGGGGCTGTAGCTTGGATCGCCTAGGAATGGTGACTATTGTAAGAGTCTTGTTTTTCTTTTTGTATTTTTCAATATGAGGCTCATCACCTGCTATATAGCAGCAGAAACCTAAACATTTGATTCTCACACCAAAGACAGCAGAGCAAGTACTGAAGAACAAAAATGAACTTTTACGCGTTTTCATGATATTCAATGTATAAGAATGCCAGAATAGGTTGGTTTTCAACTCAACTTCACACAACACTTTTGGAAATGTCCAAAGACCACCATGACAAGAAAAATTCACAAAAATCATCTTAAGGCCCAGTGAGTCATGAAAAAGAAATAGTTCCTATACCCCCATCAGAACTAGAAAAAAAAGTATTATTTAAAAAGCTGTTATTACGAGTTGCTGTTGTTTCTTTTGCCAGTGAAGAATTCTGATATGGCTGCTACCACCACCTTCCCTCCCACCATGAACACACACAATCAAGGCAGTAGGATTTAGAAATACTACTGAAATACCATTATTATCATTCCTATCACTTCATCTTACAGAGAGGAAATTGAGGCTCACAAAGACTTCGTAACTGACCCAAAGTCACCCGGCAGAAGAGTTGTGAACTGAGCCTCTGGGGCTAATTCCAGGGCCTGATCACCATTTCCTGCAGACAGCCATATCAACTCCAATACATAAAATCTTGATTCTTTCTTTAAATGCATGCATTTTGGAGGGCTAGCACATACTTATTTTTTTGTTGTTTTTAACTTCAGAATCTTGCTTCGTGGGCTATGTAATGTCCACATGCTCAAGTTAAATTAGAACATTCAAAAAATTTCTGAGACAGCTGTTTCTCTCCAGCATTTATATTATTTTGGGAAAGAGGACTACATCATTGAGCAATAATCCTGCACTAGTACATGATCTTATTTAATTCCCACAGTAATGCCATGAATGCTACTATCACTCTCACATTACAGGGAAGAAAACAAAGGCTCAGAGCAGTTGCTGCCTGTTTAATTTACATAAGCAGTAAGTGGAAACATCAGGATTTGAATCCAGACTAACACTGTCTAAGATTGGGATGGTGAGAAAGATGAAATGCAGAGGTCCTCTCAGGTGGAAATGCAGAGCTGGCACAACCATGGCTCACTGCAGCCTCCACCTCCTGGGCTCAAGCAATCCTCCCACCTCGGCCTCCCGAATAGTTTGAACCACAGGCATGTGCCACCATGTCTGGTTTCACTTTTGTATTTTCTGTAGAGACAGGGTTTTGCCATGTACCTTAGATTGGTCTTAAACTTCTGGGCTCAAGTGATCTGCCCACCTAAGGCTCCCAACATGCTGGGATTACGGGTTTGAGCCACCACACTCGGTCTCCTCTTTTCAATTATTACTTTTGTCTTACAATCATAATACAGACTTATTTAAAAATCAAAACAATATAGAGGTAAAATGAGCATATATTAACAAAAATTAAACAATATTCTCTCCTCTGCCCAAATCCCTCTCCTCAGAGATATGACTGCTTACAAATTTGGTGGAATTACTTTCAGATCTTCTTCTAAACACTGACAAATGTATATATGTGCATAAACTTTTATTAAAATGTTCATAGTCTAGTTATCAAATAATTTCAATAGAGTGTAAGTTCTATGACATAGCTAAGTCTAGAGCAGAGTAGTTGCTCACAGGAAGGACTGGACAGCTTTGCACTGGAGGAATGAGAACAAAGAGGAAGATTTTACAGAGGACATACCCAAGTCTAAGGGCCCTTAATCTTTCTAATCTTTCTAACCTAGCCCTTAATCTTTCCAATATACCACAAAGCTGGAAGTGTTTCTTACAGCAAGGTATTTCCCATCATGCTTACAGCTTATTCTTTATTTCCACTAACAGCTTCAACTAGGAGAACAAAACAGGACCCCATTATTGATCATTTAAGCTGACTGGAATTTATTCTTGCCTCGTAATCTGTAAATTGATGTAATATTTTCTAGAGGGTCCCAAATTTCAAACCTTACATAATAATTTGGATAAGACCTCTGCTTAGCCTCACTTCATGACTTTGTACACAGGCTGCAAATGTTTGCCTAGTCATCTCAGCCCTGCTTTTTAGTTCCTTAGATACCCTGATATTATCAAGAGAACCAAAACTGTTTTCACCTCTGTAGTGCATATAAAACATCTTTACAATCAGTATAATCACTTGGTGAATCTACTGTTAATTTAAATCCAGGCTTGAGCCTGTTCAAATGGACTATGTTACACAGGGCACATAGTCTGCAAAACCTTTCCATTTTAAAACATTCATTTCTGTAACCACAGATGAGAATGAGCTTTTATCTTAGCTCCTAGCGAAATTATATCGAAATTATCTGTGTATCTATTTGTCTCCCTCTCTTGATCATAAGCTCCTCAGAGAAGGGGCTGTTTACTGCCAGGGCACAGCACAGTACTGGGCTCATATTGGGTGATCAATAGGCATCTACTGGATGAGCTGAGTGGTACATTCACAAAGAGAAGCTCCCTCATTGTTTAGGTGAGACGAGAAGAAGGTGGAGCAACCTGACATTCAACTTCCACCAAGGGAAACAAAGCGAAGAGGAGCAGTGGAGTCCAAAGACTGCATTGATGACTTGGCCAGTAACAATATTAATGCACTCCCACCCAATCACCTCTCACTTCAGCACAAGGTGATAAATTACTATTACTAAGGCTAACATTTATTGAGCACATACTATATACCAGACACTATGTTGATGAGTTTTACAAGCATCTCTTAAATTTCATAGCAACCCAATGAAGAAAATATTATTTTCCCCATTTTACAAATGTTGAAACTGAGATTTAGAGTTTAGTAACTTGTAAAGAATAACAAAATTAATTTATGCCAGAGCCATAATTTAAATCCAAGTCACCTCGCTTCAACGTTCCATTCAATGCCTTCCCCACATAAGGACATAAATTCCAAAATCTTACCCTTTACATTAGTTAGGAAGTTTCTGATAATAAAGCCATCTCATATTTTAAAAAGTCACAGTACTTCTATTTTGTGAAAAGGCACAGAGAAAACTGTCTGGGACTGATTTACAGACATATCAGTAGTTCTGTGTGGCTGGAACACCAGGTGCTTGGAGTTATGCTGTGACAGCTAAGGATAATTTGAAGCCAATCCAACAAATATTATTCAAAAGTGTTGGTCTGTATTTTACTGAGTAGAGAACAGAGAATTATCACAGTTTCAGAGCAGAAGAGTGATACAATCAGTGATGATATACAGATTTGTTAATTTTATAATAACATTCATTCATTCATGTGTTCAATATTTACCAATTGCCTATTTTTTGCTATCTGGGGAAAGAGTGATCCAGACAGAAGGAACAGAAGTTGCAAAGGCCATTGTCAGGTGCATGCTTAGAGCAAATCGAGGATCTGCATGGAGGGTAGTGTGACTGGATGAGTAGTATGACAGGTGTGGGGGAGTATGAAAGAGATGAGGTACACAAGGTAGCATCTGATCATGAGCAGGCCTTGAAGCTCTTCTGTGTGGGCTTTCACCTTGAGTGAGATAGGAAGTAGAGGAGGAACATAATCTGACTTACTATGTCAGAAGGGCCAGTCTGTTTCCTGGTTGAAAATATTTTGTAAGAAAGGAGGGCCAGGAACAGAAGCAGGGAAGCTACTGAGGAAGCTGTTGCCAAAGAGATGCAACTTGGACCAACCAGAGAGAAATTAAGGCAGGCAGTTTAAACAGCTCTACTTCTGGATACACTGAAAGAGAACGAATAAGATTTACTGATGCACTGGATGTAGACGTGACCTAGGCAAAATGCAGAATGGAACTGCCATATCCTGAGATGGAAAATGCATTTCCTGAGATGAAGACGGTTGCAGTAGATGTAGACAACAAACTTGTAATGAACACTTTTTGGTGCTTTTAAGGGTTTGGGCTCTTGGAAAGCACTTTACAAGAATTCTCTCAATTATTTCTGAAACTAGCCATTGGGATTTACCAGTGAAGAAACAGAAATTCAGAGGTTATGATCTGCCCAGGGCCATACAGCTACCAACTGACAAAAACAGGCATAACTACCTCTATACAACCCCAAAGTTATTGCTCTTAGTTACCTTTGTGTGTAGTATAAAATACAGAACAAAATGTCAATGGGAAGGAAGTAAGAGTAAATACTAAGTGATGACTTGTACCTAGTAGGCCCTCAATAAATATTTGCTGATGGATGAATAAATGAATAAACAGATATATGGATAATAGATAACAGACTGGCCGTGGGTGAGAAAAAAAAACCAGAGGACTCCATTCCAGAGAGAGTAGAGTCTGGATAATGGGCATCCAAATCTGCAAAAGGAGAAATGGCAGAAAGGTAGAAAAACCAGATATATGGAATGTCATCAAAGAGCTACAAATTTTCAAAAGCAATCTCAGGTGGCAAAACATCCTTTCAATGTTTTTGTCTATTGGTGGTATGGGATGTGAGGGTGGAGAGAGGCAGAGCCCATGAGGTGTATGAGAAGGCTTTTTTTTTTTTTTTGAGACAGAGTCTTGCTCAATAGCCAGGCTAGAGTGCGGTGGTGTGATCTCAGCTCACTGCAACCTCTGCCTCCCAGGTTCAAGCGATTGCCCTACCTCAGCCTTCCAAGCAGCTGGGACTACAGAAACGTTCCACCATGCCTGGTTAATTTTTTTATATTTTAGTAGAGACAGGGTTTTACCATGTTGGCCAAGATAGTCTCGATCTCCTGACCTCATGGTCCGCCTGCCTCAGCCTCCCAAAGTGCTGGGATTACAGGCGGGAGCCACCAAGCCCAGCCAAGAAGCCTTATACTTAGCAGCCTAGTCCCAAACACACACATATATGTACACATACACACAGGCCAGTCCTGAGGTAATGACAGGTCTTAGTATATTATCTTAAATTGTTAGATAAAAAGGTAAGAAAAGATTATGTATAGCATTCTACATGATGCAAGTGCTTAATACAGGTTAAAAAAAAACAAATAGCAATAATAACAGAAATAAAGTTAGAACTCCTTACTTTTAGTCTAATACAAAAGACCACAGGGGCTTTTAAATAAAAAGCAACCTTTTAAGTCAATCAATAAAACCACCATAAGTGGTTCTGATAGATTCCAGGATAATATTTGTGGTACCTTAGCTAATTCAGAGGATTACATCAATAAACTACTTCCTGGACTTTTTCTTCACATTGTTTCAATATTTAAGTGATTTGTTTTCCCTTGTTGCTATTCTGCAGCCCTAGGGCAAACAAATTACTTAATCAATGCAAGTTTTTAAGACAGAGACTCAAAAGCAAAGTAGTTCTAGGTGTCCTCTGAACAGAGACAACTTTCCATTGAAATGACAAAATATTTATAAGCCTTAGCACATTATAAAGTTAAAAAATAATCACCACTATATTCTTTAAAAATGTTTAGACCTCCTTTTTCAGTGATTTGTTTGTAATAAAGAAATGCCGGCCAGGTGTGGTGGCTCACGCCTGTAATCCCAGAACTTTGGGAGGCCAAGGTGGGTGGATCACGAGGTGAGTCCAGCCTAACCAACATGGTGAAACCCCGTCTCTACTAAAAATAAAAAAATTAGCCGGGTGTGGTAGTGCACTGCACGCCTGTAATCCCAGCTACACAGGAGGCTGAGGCAGAATCACTTGAACCCGGGAGACAGAGGTTGCAGTGAGCCGAGATCGCGCCACTGTATTCCGGTCTGAGAGACAAAGCAAGACTCCGTCTCAAAAAAAAAAAAGGAATTGCCATGATCATATTCTGAACACAATGCCAAAGAAAATAACATTTAATAAATTAAATAAAATTCATTCATGTATGAAGTTTATTTTTTTAAAGATATCTTCAAGAAGCATGGATAAAGCTGTCAAGAACCAATTTCTCATCACAAGGATCAGAAAGAGGGTGGGATGGGAAGGATAAATACCTGGGTCAAAATGTCAAAATCCACAACTACTTTTAAACTACAAAGACTGGGAGGATAAAAGAAAGTATATCCATGGTCAAATGTCAATACTTTACAACAAAAATGGGGTTTACAGGGATTCAACTACTTTTATATTCAATAAATTGGAAGACGTTGTTTCCGACCCAAAACAAAATCCTGAAAGCTTCCTAGACGTCCTTCCTTGGATTTCGGACAATACATCATTTATAATTTGGAGGGCAATACATATAGCCTTATATTCAACATACTTTTACTCATTTTTTTCCCTTTTTGGTTCCTGACAAACATGTGATGTTTACTCCTCTCTGTCTCTCTCACGCGCGCGCACACACACACACACACCATTGTTTCCACAGAGGGTAGAACACACTTGTGGGCCTGTGGCATTTTCAAAAATAGGATTGAAAAAAATAGTTTTATTTAGTCACGATGAAGTTAGCAAACACCCAAACACCCAAGTCTTTTTCCCCCCGGCAAGAACATCACCAATGAACTGCAACCTGTTAATTTAATTAAGAAAAATAGGGCTTTAACTCAGCTCCTAGGCTAGGAATCACTGAAGCGAGGAAAGTTCAAGGTCTGCTCTCCCGCTGTATCTGGGCACCCCGGAGCCAGAGCCGGAGTCGAGAGTTTGAGGGCTCCCACCAAGAGCCTTTCGCCCGGGAGTCTCCTCTGCCCTTAGCCAGAGGGCTGGCGCGTCCGCCTCCCTCCCTGACACTTCAACATGCCTCTTTGGCTGCCATCCCCAGGAAGGCAGAAGCAGAGGCGCCCGGGAATTCGGGGGCCGGGCCGGGGTTCCGCGGCTGCTTCCGCACTCGCGGGCAGGGACAAGGAGGCAGCCGGGCTGCGGGCGACCGGGCCGGGAGGGCTCCGCTGCGGCCGGACAGAGCGGCGGGGGAGGCGCGCCCAACGCCCCGGCCCTGGTACTCACCCGAAGGGTCGCGCGGGGCGTGGGGCGACTGCACACCGGAGTCGCGGTCGAGCACAGCCGTTGGCGCGCCGGCGGCCTCGCTGGGAAGCACGGCGAGACGGGCCGGCGGCGTCGCTGCCGCTGCTGCTGTCACGGAGCTATAAATACCGGCTCGGCCCACACCCGTCGCCGCCTACGCCGGGCGCCCTCCGCGCCGGTGCTTCGCCGCGCCGCGCTCCAGCCGCAAAGTTCGCGGCCGCGGGCCGGGCAACGCGAGCGCAAGGGAACCGGCGCCTCGCAGGTGACCGCGATCATGCCAGCTGTGTGCAACCCCTGCAGCTGGAGGCATGGCGTCTCCCCGCCCCCGCCCTCTCGCTGGCTCCCCTCCCGCCCGCACCACGGGCTGACTCCAGCCGGCGGGCAGCGTGCGCCACGGGCCGAGCCTGCCCAGGCCGGGCCCGCCTCTGCAGAGCGGCAGCTGCGGGCAGGGGAAGACTCAGGAACCTGGTGGGGGTTGGGGGGCGGCTGACAGAAAATCCACCATCCTGCAGGAAACCAGTGAGTGTCCCACTGGAATGTCCTGGAAGAGCTACAAACTTTCGAAACCAATCTCAGGTCGCAAAACATCATTTCTGTTTTTGTCTATTGGTGCTGTGGGGATATGGGGGTGGGGAGAGGCAGAGCCCACGGGGAGTATGAGGAGTCTTATACTTACTTTCCAACCTGACCAGTCTCACTCACACACACGCAGACACACACACACACACACACACTCATACAAACATAGCGATGCACAAATACTCTCATGCATTCATGTGTATACACACATATAAGCACACATACCCACATGCATGCACACATATATACATCAAGCGCACACACTCATGCACAATTTTTAAACTTTTTGCAACATGAGGTTCTCAGGAGCCTGTCATTCTATGGTGCTTAAATGATACTGCTGCAGCATAGGGCAGGAAGACCCTTTGACCATATTTGACGAATTCCTCTCTTCCTGAATGTAACCTCCTTTCCATCAAATATGTTGCCACACCTAAGAGCAACTGCTACTTCAGTTTACCAGTTGCTTATAATGTGTTAACAGCTGCTATCCAGCATGCTTTTATTTCGTGGTAATAGAAGTTATCACTAGTGTGTATAATCAAATGGAAAAAGGATAATTTCTATACGCCCATAGTAGCAAACTTACGAAGGAAGAGGTAGGCCCTCTCCTGGACTGGTAGCCTGATTCAGGAATGAGTTGGATGGCAAGAGGGAGCGCTGAGGTGTCAGCAGATTTTGAAATGGGATGGAGAGAGCCATACCCAAGTGCCACAGGGCAGCTAATCTGCACGGGGATAATTGGGAATTCACTGCCATACTTCCCATTAATTTGACATTTTTCTAGCTTCCAAGAATGACCATATATATATATATGTGTGTGTATGTAGACAGAGAGACAGAGACAGAGAGTAGTCACAGTTTGTGATCATTTTACAGAACTCTTAACTAGTAAGGTTTTCTTTTGTAATGCTTTAACAAGTTTTCCCAGAAAGAATTGTTGCCTATGTTAGCACTTTGTACATTTTACTATTACACTTTTGTTGTACTTTTTTGCAACTTCTTTTTTCCCCCACTACACTATGAATTCATGAATTATTGGAGGGCAGAGACTAATCTTACTCATCATTGTATCCTTAGTATCTAACATAGTAAGTTATAGTAATGGCTCATAAATAGTTGATTAATTCTACATATTAGTCATTATATTCCACTGTGCTTTTATAACTGTAATTAGTATTATTCACTAAAGAATAACTGTTTAACATGGGTTCCATATGCTGTATTTTCCTTGGCTCTCCATTTAAAGCAAGGACTGGTCAGTCAGTTAAAACTGAAAATTAGTAAAGCGTTACAAATTATATAGAATACTGAGGTCTGTAATTTATTTCTTTTATTATTAGTATTTTCTTTGAGACAGAGTCTCATTCTGTCCCCCAGGCCAGAGTGCAGTGGCACAATTATAGCTTCTTGCAGCCTTGACCTGCTGTGCTCAAGTGATCCTCCCACCTCAGCCTCCAGAGTAGCTAGGACGACAGGCACACAACACCACACCTGGCTAATTTTTGTATTTTTTGTAGAGACAGGGTTTTCCCACATTGTCCAGGCTGGTCTCAAACTCCTGAGCTCAAGTGATCTGCCCACCTCATCCTCTTAAAGTGCTGGGGTTACAGCTGTGAGCCACCATGCCCAGCCTTTTTTTGTTGTTGTTTCAAGAGACAGAGTCTTGCGTTGTCACCCAGGCTGGCATGCAGTGGTGCAATCATAGCTCGTTGTAACTTCAAACTCCTGGGCTCAAGCAATCCTCCTGACTCAGCCTCCCAAGTAGCTAAGACCACAGGTGCACACCACCACACCTGGCTAATTTTTAAAATTCTGTAGAGACAGGGTTTATGTTGCCCACCTGATCAGGAACTCCTGGCCTCAAACCGTCCTTCAGCCTCTGCCTCCCACAGTGCTGAGATTTCAGGTGTGAGCCACAGCACCCAGTTGAGGTCTGTAATTTATGATCCCTGTTGCCCCCAGACAAAACAAAATAAAGGAAAAGAGGAAGCCCTTTTCCTTTCATTGAGAGAGAGACTAAAAAATACATTGTATTTCAGGGGATAGCGGGGTAAAAATCATTCAGCAGCTTGTCCTTTGTCTACTTAAGAAATTGAACTCAATCCACTCCATAATCAACTGAACTACATGGGTGTCTACTAAAATGAACTTCAGTTCATCAGAATCAAAATGCCTGGCATCACTTAAATGGAACTTATTAGCCTACCTTTAGATCTCTCTTCATATAATAATAATTTTAAGAATAAGCTCCACCAATGCTTACTATTTACTGTTGAGAGGTCATGGGGCTTAGAGAATCTAGTTCTCCAGGACCACTTCAAGGCAAAATACTGAAATGGGCAAGGCTTTTTTTCAGTACCAATGTTCCCTTTTTACAACTGACCAAGAAACATGTGCCCTTTGCCTTGGCAGCCAGCCATGATCTCCAGCTCAGCCCTGTTTCAGAACCAGGCAGAGGAATAGCCTCTTCACCTGGGCGCAATAACAATGAGTGATAAAAGCTCAAGTTGGCCGGGCACAGTGGCTCACACCTGTAATCCCAGCACTTTGGGAGACCAAGCCATGTGGATCACCTGAGGTCAGGAGTTTGACACCAGCCTGGCCAACATGGTGAAACGCCGTCTCTAATAAAAGTAAAAAAATTAGCCAGGTGTGGTGGCAGGCACCTGTAATCCTAGCTACTTGGGTGGCTGAAGCACGAGAATTGCTTGAGCCCAGGAGGCACAGGTTGCAGTGAGCTGAGATCTCACCACTGTACTCCAGCCTGGGCTACAGAGTGAAGTTTTGTCTCAAAAAAAAAAAAAGCTCAATTTATTGAAGGCTTATTGTATACTAAGCTCATTACATGTATTAAAGAGCTGTGAGATAGCTGCTAAACACAGAGTATCCCCCTCCACATTTACCTTTGAGGAGAGGGGCATCCTGAGGTTGAGTAGTTCATTTGAGATCTTACAAGTAGCCATAGTGGTAGAGTAAGGATCAGAAGCCAGGCAGTGTGGCTTGTGAGCTCCTGTTTTAACCTCTCATCTCATATAATACTTCCTCCCCATATAAGAGGAAAGATATATGGCTTTATAATATGGGTTTTATAGTTAGGAGACCTGGCATAATTGATATTGGCATAAATTCTGGCTCCACTGCTTACTAGATATAAACTTATACAAATTGCTACTAAAAAATTACAGTAGGAATCTCCAGATCTTCCTTCTTCACCACTGAAGTGGTGAGATGTTAGATCTGGACCTGGACTTAGGAGCTCAAAGTAGGTCACTGAAATCTGTTCACAGACAGATCCCACTCAGGATTTCAACTACTGTTTTCTTCATTCTTCAGTCTGCTTCCATCACAATCACTACTACGCAGACGTATTAGGGGTTTTAAATGATCCAATGTCTGTAAGACACCTGTAGTGTCTCCTATGTAATAGGTACTCAGTAAAGGCCATTCTTCCTTCCCATCAAACCTCACTATTCTATGAAAACTTTCCTCTAGGTCAAAATCTATTGGCCCACTAGCCAGGTGATGATTGCTTACTCACACAGAGTTAACCACTTCTTCAGTGTTGGCCAGCAGTGATTTTCAAAAGGTATAGATAGATTTCCAAAAAGAAACCAAGATAGTAGGGCATAAATCTCCCATTCTGTCATCCATATTTTAGCCCAAACAACTCCATTTCTTTTACATACAGGAATTTAGTCAATTGGTCATAGTTCCGGAGTTTTAGGGTAATAATTGAAATTGTTTTTGAAAACTCTTAAATCACACTGGTCAATCATCTGCAGACTCCACCTCTACATCTGAAATCAACCCTGTGGATAGGCTTAAAATGTATGTTGTTTACATATCATTCCTTTGTAAAATCTGATCCAAGAGTTAAAAAATCAGAAGTAACCACGTGGGACATGATGTTTTTCTGTTCACCTCGCATGTCTTAGTACCTCAATAATACAGTTTACTCTTTATTAAAAAAGAAAAGAAAAAGACAAGATCAGTGCTCAATGTACATTTCAAAAATTGGTGAGAGCTTTCATTATGACCCAATTTATCATCTCTAAATGACATTTTGAAAGCCAGGGGAAAGTATAGGTGTAATCATCAGTAACCTCTACCAAGTCAATTGGGAAATGCTTTTGTCATTGATTAGATGGACTCTAAGGAAAACTATTTTTAACTTCCAAAAGGTCAATCAGAATGATACTAATTGCATGCTCTGAATATAAACAGCATAATTTCCTTATTGCCAAAGAGGCAAGAAGAGAAATTTGCCAATCAAACATAGACAAATTATGATCCATAATTTTCTTTGGTATATAAAGGGTTATGACTCTACTACCAGGATTTTCTTCAACAACCCTAATTTCAAGTGTTCATTCCCATTGAATCCAATGCACGCTGATATTTTTAAAGCCCCATATCCTGAATTTTGCTTGTGAAAAGATGACCATCACGTGTCTACTGCATGGAATACAAGAACCTGTGCTCTGAAATCCTTATGATGCCAACTGGTAGCAATATG